AGTACATTTCGTGGATACACTTTCACGAAGAACCTATTTCTGGGATACCGCAGTCCCATGTGGATCAGAAAATAGCCACAATGTAGTACAACTAAACCCTGATGAAAATAAATATTATCTTCTCACTCCATATCCCACATTAATGCAATCACTCAAAAAATTTTCACCAGAAAGCATTCGCGCTATCGCTCGAAACCCAAATATAGACTTACAATCAATAGGAATCTATTCAAAATCAGATATTCAACATCACATTAGAACACAACAATTCCAAGAATTATTAACACAAATGGACACTATACAAAGACAATCAATAGACCAAAACTTACGCAAACTTGCAGAAACCGCAGGATTTGCCGATATCTACACGCAAGACTATAGCGGATATTTTAAAGACATTAAAGATTATATATATCTAAACGGTGAAAAATACCGTCCCCAAGATATATCACCAATTAACATTTTTAGCTTTGTTACACTCAAAAATGAAATCCTTGATTTTCTAGGATGGCCCTACTACATCTTAGAAAAATTGACTATTTTATACGCAATGTTTAACTTTATTGGATTTCTTTTCTCACTTTTAAAAGGAATCTACAATACATGTGCTATACACACACAAGTAAACAGACAAGCAAGCGTAGCACGCATACTCTTTGCAGGATTTTTTGGAATTTTTTCGACATCTATAAACAAAATTCTTTTAGACGCACAAATAAAAGAATATAACACAAAAATAACAACACGACAGAATACATACGACGAAGAACATAACAATGTCGACACACAGCCAACGGTACCACAATTACCACCCCTACCAAATAACCATCCACTATCCCTAGTCCCACGAAATTTTCGAAATTTAGCTATCACACATAATCCAAATTTTCGACTCACCACATCACAAAGTCCCATCCAACATATAATGACACACCAGTCACAAGATGATAATACTTATGAACAAATTATTGAACAGCCCCATACCACCGCTTTTCAATCTCAAAATAATAATTTTTTTAGCCCACGATGAGCCGCCAACTTGGATCACTACACCGATCAAATTCCCATCCAACCAATCTTACCTCTCCAATCCCAATAATACCACTTTTTGCTTTTCCGCCACCCGATTTTCCATCTAGTAATGTAACATCAGGCATGAATTCCGACACTAATTCACACATCTCAGTTTTATACTCCATCTCACAGCTAAATAACCCGAATATTGAAACCCCCGATGAATTCGCCGACTCAGAACCATCCCCATCCAATAATTTTCATAACCCTTCTAATTTTTCTCAACCCCCTTTTCAACCCATATTATCCAATAACCCTGACCTAATTACTCCCACACCCTCTTATGCTTCCCAAGTTACCCCAACCTATTCCTCATACCATTCTGACCGATCATCTCATTCTCCAGACACCCCCCGAATCTCCCCAGAGCTAGATAATTTTATTACCCTCCAACAACAACCCTACCACCTTAACACCCCGACCATAAACCAAATCTCCTCCACTACAAATTCATCCAATCCCCCTACACCCTCTTCAAATTATACTGAATCATTAACACCATCATCCACATCCACTATATCTTCACTAAACACTAACAGAGCTTACCGCACTTTTAAAAGAAAATTCCCCAACCATCCTTTCCCAGCAAAACCAGGAACAGCCCGTGAATACATCAACCACCCCCAGCATACTAACACTAAAGAATTTTTAGCTATCACCTTACCCTCATTTCCACAATACACCTTAAACACCCCTCACGACGCTAACGAAACACGCAACTTTGTAGATGAATACGTTTTAATGCCCACTCTCTCTTGGACCTCATACTATCATTTCACTAACCCTCTTTGCTTACCTTTATCCAGCACTTCCATCGATATAGACCGAAACAAAGACATGCTATATCAACTCACTACACCATTAACCGCTAGACAGTTTACTTACGTTGGATATAAAAAATCACTAAAAATACACACTGCACCTAGAGCTAACGAATATACACTAGAATACTACGATCACAACATCATTAGAGCTAACCAAGATCAATTCCTAGACGACGATCACTTCGCTAATCCACAAATCACCGAGAAATTTTTCATCAAGACACCATATGTATTTACACTAAACATCTTCGACCGAAAGTTTGATCACATTATTTCAGAAGCACTAACAAACACACAAGCATACGAAAGTTTTAAAGAACGCTTCCAAATCTTTTCACTAACCTTTCATTTCCTTGCACCACACGAAAGAGATTTACACTGCTCACACGATATTATGTTGCGCACTAAACAAACACATACATACAGTTACTATCGTTTCATCCAAAATCACTTTGACCTCCACACACCCTCTCGACAACCACACCATCGTTTCCAATTCATCAATTCAAAATACACTTCACCGTATTTCCTAAATTTCACATATTGTATTAAAGACACTAACCTCCATGGTATTCTTCGTAATTATGACCCCATAACCCAAATGTACATTTTCTGCCCCATCACCAAGACCTTCAACGCCGAAGAATCCCGACCCTTCCTTATCCCGCACGAGTTCCTACAACCTATAGAAATCCCAATTTTAGAATTCATCCACAACACTAAATTTAACCACAAATTATATAACTTAATCCAAAACACACCTTATGAGTTTGCAGTAGGCACTGAAGAACTAACCACTATTAAGGCACTTCAATTGCTTTGGCCACTGCTTCAAACTAAAAATATCATCCGCATCTTAGCTAAACTACTAACGACTTCAGAACTAATTCACGACATCTTCCCCCACGGTTTTTTCCCCGACGACTAACAGGTAAGTATGAATTAAGTAAATATTACTAACTAATTAAAATATTGAAAAAACTCACCATTCTTTATTCATGTTTTCTTTAGATTTTTAGCCTTCATCCGACAATCACCTACAAAAACCACAAAAGACAAATAAAAATCGCAAATTTCATCAAACAGATTTCAAAAATTATATTAATCTATTACACTTGTAAATTTATAAATTTAATACCAATGCAGTAAATTCATTTCTAAAATTTTCCCCACAAGCAGTAAAATTAATTATGATGAAAATTTGTAACTTAAAATTCCCCCATAACTAGCAGTAAATTTCCAAATTCTATGCAGTAAATTAATAAAATGCAATTGCAGTACTAACCTTTTGATATTTTTATTCATTTGCACAGAAATTCTATCCACACTCGCACAGCTCGCCCACGAAGAATTGTTTAAAATAATGAATTTCAGTTTCAAGTTTTCACACTCAACAACTCTAACATACAATAACATGTTTCAAACTTTCCTTTAACCCGGTTGGAAAGGAATCATATACTAAACAAAACTAACCAACGCAGCTTACTAAATACCACAAATCATAAAATAACAGCATGACTAAGAAAAGGAAACCAACGGTACCCAAACCGGATTAACCCAGTTTAAAACTGGATAATTTATTCTTTTGAAGACTATTATAAAGTCTAAGAAAGAAATAATAAAACACAAAAAAGTCGAAAGACAAACCCATACCACAAACAATTTGCTTTTTGGAAAAAGTACATAACCAACAAGACATAAGTAAAACCACAACAAACCCAACATAAAACGTTGTCACATAACAGGACCCCTCACAAACACCGCATGAAATCATACTCCCACTCCTGGCCTAACCCACCAGGAAAGGACGTCCTGAGCATGCTCTATAGCCGGCCTAACCCACCGCGCTACATCCACGCTTTGTGACCACACCTTTATTTTTAATAAGAGCTACTCAAGGGTGAGTAACTCTTCAAAATAACCGAACTAAAACAAAAAGCTTTTGTGAAAACAACTAACTAAAATCATTATTAAAAAATATTAAACTAATAAAAGTTTTATAAAATGTAAAATCACATGATGCAATATATAGATCAGAATACAACACCAAGGACGAACATCAAAAGACAAGACGACCTCACTACACTCGAGAGAGAATGACCAACTACAATCGATATGCCGCTCACAATCACAACTCAAAGGATTTAGAGTACGACTTGACTTCGCAGAAAAGGACTTCATTGAACTAGACCAATGACCACCTCGATGTTCAAGTATACGTACAGATCCGAGTAACCAGGCATCCCCTCCACGCACAATCTCCACGCCATTCCCAAGCTAGATCAGACACAAAGGAAGTTCTCCCCGAAGAACAGAAAAACCTGACATAGCCAACCATTCTGAAATCAGAATTGATTTTGTTGCAGAGACTCAGTCGTTGTCACAAGAAGAAGCGGAAGAAAATTATGATGTTCGCCAAATACCAACGTCCATCATCCACCCTTGAATTACAGAAGAACTGTTCTAAAAAACTCTGTAAAACCCGGATGGGTGGAACCTGATCTAAACTATATTTTATGATTGGATAAATTAAATGTTTTACCAATGTAAAGTATTTAATATTGACCAATCATGATCCATCTAACTAACAACCCACTTATTTGTAAGTGCTGAAGTTACTTGTAATTTCAGCACCAGAGAGATTTGAATTTAACTTAGAAATTAGTTGGACTCTCCCGAGCACTTCAGCAGCCGCAATAAACCAGTATACCCTAGATCTATTGAGCCTAGCAGAGACTAGTTAAACAACCTGAGACTAGATAGTATAAGAGTAAGATTAGGATCGGTATTAGACTAAGAAGTTGCACGAATCTATCCGGCCGAAAATAAGATAGCGTGACGAGCAGACGGTGTACCCTATCCGAAATTACTCTATGAGTTACACCTCGGTCCTAACTCAGAGAGTTGGACAATTTTTTTTTCCACATACTCTTGAGAAACACCTCTAGATTTGCGCTTGAGTTAACCTCGATGGTATGAACATGAAAACGGGCTACCATAGGCTGGAGAGCCAACTGAATTCAGTACAAATTTTGATGAAAAAGAAATTAGTCATTATAATTTTTTAAAATCAAAAACCACAAACTTTTGAATCTACGTTACCTGCGTTTCCTCCTGACACTCTATGCCTGCACCAGCCCCATGCATTCCAGTTCCTGGAAAAATTAGAAAATTCAAAATTTTGAATCATCGATTGAGAAAGGGAAGAACAAAAGGGCCACAACTCCGTAGTTACTTCGAATTGATGAAAGAACCATTTTGAAGCAATTATCTATGCCTTTGAACTATGCGCTTTGCTTATACGTTTTGTTGACACCTGAAATTGGATAATCAAAATGTGTTTTGGTGTTTCTGATATTTTTCGCGCAAAATCAGGTAAATCGAAAAATTATTAGTATGGGTCATAACAAATATCATATAGAAGACCTTTGTGTCGAAAAAAACGTATTAGATTTTTTTGTCTAGCTTTGAGCAAATTACTAAAAAGATATGACGCAATTGACGACGAAGTGAGGAGACTTCATCAACGAGCAATTTTGAGCAACAACTTTTGAAGAACATAAAATTTGGCGCTGGTTTTGCATCCAGGATAGAGGCAGCCGCTACAATTACAAACTCGAGAACTTTGGTAATGGTTTGATTCACAATATTTCAAGGAATTGGAAACGAAAGACAATCAATCAAATACTAATTGAAAATTACTATACAATTGCTTAATAACTCGTGTATAACTCCACATAAAGTGAAAAATTTGCCGAAATTTTGTGTGGGCATCAATTGTCTCTAGATGACAGCTGCAAAGTACTATATATTTTTAAAATTGTCATAAGGTTTATTAGTCAATCAAGGAAAGGCTATATTGCAAGATCTTGCAAAACTTAACTTCATTAAAAAACTTACTATGAGTGCAAGAAAAACACCATGTAGATCCCATTTGATCCCTACGATCACAAAGAATTGAGATTTAACATTAGGTTCAGTTAGGTTAAGAAAATTAGGTTGACCTTCTTTTGAAATGTTCAAATATATCTAATTTTTTTTCGTTTCCGTATAAAAAAAATTTCAAGTTCTGGTTGTAATAGACATTTCGAATTAGGATTTCCGAAAACCTTTTTTGATGTTTTTGTGGAATATTTTATCTAATTTTAAAAATTTGGTGGTTGAAACTCAAAGGTTCGATAATTATGTGGAAATTTTGATCAGTAGAATCAATAAGCTCGAGAGACTATGCATGTGTTGTTCACTTAATTTTGTATGTGTTGTTCATTAAACAGTTGGGTTCACATATCGTGCGGTTATAATTGATTTTTTTTCTCTTTTGTTGACTTGTTTAACTGCTTAGGTGTTATCACTACATTTACTACACAATCGCTATGTTGCTTTTTTGCGTGTGCAGAGGTTTTTTCTCATGAATTTTTTTTTGAAAACCTGGCTTAAAAACAGTTATCTTAAAAGAAATCTTCTGGCTCAAGACGAACCTCCTTTGATTGAATAATGAAGCTTCAAAAAAGGTTTCAAAAATGAACCTGAATTCCAATGGCAGTTTTAAAAGGGCATTTGACTGGCTTGAAAAATTTCATCTTGCCTCATTATATTTCTATTCTCGTTCAAATGGATCCCGAGGAGGAAGTTTGTTGTGGTTTTGAGACAGCTCAAATGTCAGGTTCCGTGGTTACACAAATAGCAGTAGAAAAGGTTAGGAATTTGAAAAAATAACAAGTGACTAACAAAATTGCAACACAATTTTGAAAAAAATATATGTGGAGGACAGGCTGAGAACGCAAGAGCTATTCTCACGCAAGGACGGTGTCATTATTGCAAACCCAACCTTTGATGCCAGGGAAGTAAATGGAGCAACCGCTGTGGCTCTAAGATTTTTTGCACGCATTTGGGATTTGAAAACAAAAAGGGTAAGATTTCTGTCAAAATTTGTCTTGGGAGTTCAGGGACTCTTTGCCGAGTATTGCGAGTTTGTTTACTTGATGAAAAATTTGTACTACGGAACAGAAGACAATTTACACGAAAGAAAAATTTAATCCAATAATTAAAAAAAAAACTTACTTAGGCAAGCTCTTGCCCAAAGCAAAACTATAAATAACAGCAGCTTCTCAGCCAATGGGTATCGAGACCGTCACAAACAGCGGTGTGGTTTCAGTCGCGGCGAGGACGGGAGATAATAGTTTAAACAATGTCAAAGACAAAAGTGTGGATGACCTGAAAAAGCCTAAAAACATTGCGATAAAAAGAATTTGGGTTCAAATTGCTGGAGAGTATGCAACTGCACGAAAAACGTCTCCCCTGTAAAGAGAAAAAATCCTGAACAAAATTAGGAATTTTTGTTCTACAGCTCAAAGACAAACTAAAATTGTAAGCGTTGAATTTTAAATGACGAGCTGAGCGAAAAAATTCTCGTTAAAAGACTTGTTTCATGAATTGAACTTTTCGTGCAAAATTGATTTGCATGTATGTCAACTTTTTTGGGTAGCCTAAAGATCTTTTTGGGTAGCCTGAATTAATACATTTGATTGAAATGTTATTTTTTTGTTCTCAGTACACTTTTGATTTTTCAAAGATCTGATTCGTAGAGGACAGTGAAGCCAATCGTTGCTTGATAATTGTATTGGAATACCCTATGTCGAAACTGCTTGTGTCCACGCAAGCAAAGCTGACTGTTTAACTTTACGCAACCAATAGCTCAGAGCAGCGGTTCTTCAAAACAACTCTTCGGCTGTTCGGTGCAGTATCTTTTGTTTTTGTTTGGTAGACTTCTAAAAGCTTTGTGATGACGCGGGTTATTTTTTCAACTTGTGTTTTTAACTTTTGAATAGTGAATCGTCATAGCATTCTGTAAGCCAATGAAAAAACCGCAAGAAAGTATTCTTTTCCAATATTATTTGTCTGTAAATGCGAATAGTAGATACAAAGCGAAAAAGAATCAGAATGTCATAAAGAGCGTAAATGTGAAACTTGGTTTGGTTTTCCCAAATGTTTTGGGCAGGAGAACTACAGGCTGCTGCTAAGGGCTCGAATTTAGTTATCAAAAAGGATGAACAAAGACTCGAAGCTAGCAGCAAAGATTGTATTCCAGCAGTCAATTTTCAGTACAGAACGTAATGTTGCTCCCAAAAAATCTTCACGATTTTGAAGTTTTGGTTGACCAGTTAAATTCGGAACTAAGCGCGTATATAGAACAAACATTGGTCGAAGAAAAGTCAAATAATTCACCTATTTCAGTTCCATGGGTATCAACCTTCAGTTGTTCATTCTGCAGAAAAACTGCGATGGCTGAGTAGGTCCGATTGTCAAAGATAGTGTCATCTTGGAAGTACTCAAAAAATAATGATAAAATCTTCCAAACTCTGAACATTAGAACTGTGACAAAACATTGTAAAAATCTCACAATTTTTTTTTTGTTTTTAGGTACTTCAAATTGCAGTTAATTGGCAAAATAAGTTAAATTAACCAAACTGCACCTAATTAAATCAAACCAAAATGCTTTGAACATCAGTAGGTGATCATTATCTCATAACACCAGATCTGAACATCGATTCAGAATCAGAGAAACCCATTCGAAAACATATCACTAGACCCTGGTACAAAAACAGTCCAATAAATAATTGAAGATCTCAGGGTGACTGCAAAAACTGAGATCGATAATTCTAAGGAAAATTATTCTATACTAGCTTGCAAGGAAGCTTTATCGCCACTGCGATAAATTCATTTTAATGTTTCGAATTTCTCTATCAGAAGTTCATTTTAATGTTTCGGAAAAAAGTATCTTCAAATTTGGCAAAAACTTTGGCTTGATAATGAACTAATAAACGCTGCCCTGAGAAAAAATGGCTCGCTGGACATTTTCAGAAGTTTCAGAATATTAAAACTGCGCAACAATTATGAAATGCAATCCGTTTTTGGAAATAATTTAAATATTTGAAAAAAAGCGTTGTATTATGAAAAATTGAAGGTAGAAGCACATGATCCCAAAAAAAATAAAAACTACAAATGTTTATCAGGTTCGGAAAAAAAGATGACACAACGAAGACATTATTGCTTTTAACTTTATAATTTTGCGATTAAACTTTCTTAGCTTCGGAAAAAAATATATCAAAGACATTATTGCAGTTAGTTGTTTTGTCTGCAAAGGCGAACAGTAAGTACAGAGCCAAGAAAAACCAAAATTCGTAGAGTAGAAAAATGAAACTTGTTTTTCTTTTCCCAATTTCTATTATTACTCAAGCAGAAGTAGGAAAAATTATTATTAAAAAGCGGGCTCAAAATTCTTTATCGGGAAGATTAAGCAAAGATTCATTAGCATCAGTAAAGAATGTTTTCATGCAGCCAATTTTCAGTACCGAAAGGGAATTTGCTCCCAAAAAATGTTCAGGAATTTGAAGATTTGCTTAACCAAATAAATTCGAAGCCAAAAGCTATATGTATAACAGAAAATTGATTTGAAAAACCAATTAGCCTATTTGAGTTCCATGGGTATTATTCTTCTGTTGTTTCTTCTACACAAAAACAGCGGAGGCGAAGTAGGTACAAATGCCAAAGATAGTGTTTTCTGAAGTAATAAAAAATGATTGATAACAGCTTTCAAATTCCGAGCTTTAAAAAAGTGGTAAACAAGGTAATATTCTCACAATATTTGTGTTTACGTTTTATATAGCGAGCTAACATACTACAAGCTTCATAAATATTTAGATATTCGTATTATTGAACTCTACATAAATAGGCAACAACAGGCAACAAACAGGCAACAAAATGAAATGATAGGAGTACTGGACAAGTCAACGCCAAACACATGACCAGAGAAAGTAGTGAAAACAAAATTATGTAGTAAAAACCATGTATTGCTCTCTTTTTCTTCCATTTAGTAAGTCAAACCAGAATGCTTCGAGCAGCAGTAAAAAATCATTACCTTCTATCACTAGATCTGAAACTCGATAACTAATCATAGAATTTCAGGGCTACTCAAAGATCTGAGATTGATAAATCTAAGGTTATTTTGTCTTCACTAGGTTGTTTTGAAGCTTTGTCAAAACTGCGAGAGATTTTGATAGCGAAATTTTTAAAATAAAATTCCGTTAAAATAATTTACTTTAAAAGCTGCAAAAAAATGTCGAAGGATCTCGGAAGAAAAAAGCGGCAGAGAAAA